ATAGACAAGTACATGAACCTGTTAGATTTTGTGAGGTTCAGTATGCTTTCTAGTGCAGGAGCCTAGGGGTTAGGGTTAAAATATAAAGAACATTTAGCAAATGACATGGGGCGCAATCCTAGGGGACCATGGGCCGAAAACAGGGCTCCTTTTTTCATAAAAAGTGCAGCATATTGTTCTAAATGTTAGGTGGGAATCTCCCTCACCTTTTGATCAAACAAAGTGTTATCTTTAATTTCTAACAAAAGTAGCTCTGTCGATCTCTGAAATAGAGTTGTGACCGTGGGACCAGGTTTTTCAGCTGCACGATGATTTTTCAGCAATTCTGCCCTTCACTATTAATATTTATATTAATAGAATTTTACAATAACAGAAAGAGGCCCAATAATGTTAACTTTTGTGAGCACAGTAATCCTCTTTTCTACCATTGTAATACTCTAAAAATCAATCACTACTCTTTCCAGTTGGGCTCTTTCATGTTCATGTATCAACTCAATAACTCTCACTACCGCAATCAATTCGCTCAATGTTTTCAAGAAATGAAGATTTTCATCACCACTTTACAAGGCAAAGAGATGAATTTCATCGCTTGTTTACACGTACTAAGCTTGCTACATCTACCGTGAAACATGTAGGCCCCAAGTTATGGAGTCCCATGGATCTTTCCTTGAAATCTGCATCTAGTCTCTCAGTATTCAAACACAAATACGTGTAGAAAAGTAAACTACTGATTAACTATTTAAGTAACGATTAATTTCTTTCTCACGGGGTTGCAGCAGGCAAAAGCTGCATGGTCATGTACATGTACTGTATTCAGTATACATGTATGGTATGTTGCGTTATTTGTAAAGTGTTAGTGTGTTGTTGTCTTTGTGGAACTTTGTTTTTTCCTAACTGGGGACCCCCACTCGACAAGCACTGCTTCTTGGCAGCCCTGTCCACATATATACACTTTGTGAAACTGTTTCTGTAGAGTAATATTATGTGGAAAATAAAGGGAACTGAACTGAACTGAATACATTTTATATGGAATTTACAAAAAAATTTTTATGGGTACCAAGCTTGACAATGATGGAACCGGGTTTTGATATCGCTGGGCGGGTACCCAGGTACCGAGCACAGGCCTAAAATGTAGCCAAATACTTTTTTGGGGCTTATTCTGGTCTGAATATTGGATGATTGCTGTGAGCAATTTATGTCTTATCAACTTCTTGTAAATGATGAATCTTGTTGAGAGCACATTTGGGAATCCCTTACGACAAGTGTGGGATGCCTGGCATTACCGACATTCCATGAGAGAAGGCAGATTCTTCAGATCATCAACTTCCTCCAGACTGTTCAGTTTGGGAGACATTCTGAATCTTGCACTGGCGTGGCAAAATTTTGTGACGTCATACGAACATCATTCAAAGTTACAATTTTTGTTCTCAAAAAGTTCATCAATTTTACAGGGTAACTACCACTGGAATCTGAACTACAGTACATGTACCGTATGAAGTGACGTTATGATGACATCATCCTGGGAAGTGTTGTAAATTTTAACATTCATACCGGTATGTACAAGCACATATCTCTCATTGACTTTGTAAGTACATGTACACTATAGGCCTACATGTACATGTACGTGTTTTGTATTACACGTGTACGCATTATGCAAATGGAAAGATGGGAAGCTCATTAACAGCATAGTTTCAGGAATGAGGAAAAGTCCTATTCTCTGTGGCAAACCAACACAAAAAGTCTCATTTTACATGTAATCCGAGTCTCTTGCAACGCTACAGGTGCTTTTGGCCATCACAATGAAAATGGTGTAAAATACATGTAAATTTTAAATTAGAATTATTCAATCGACCGATCTACATGTACGGTAGTCATGGTAGTAGGCTTAGTGTTAGCCCCATGCCTGAGAAGCATAAACCATTTACAATGTACCGGTACATGTACATATATGTATATAACTGTATATGTAGATGTACATGTACATATCATGTGCACAATATTTGAGGCCAAAGTCAGAGACAAATCCAAGGAACTTTTGGAAAGAGCACAAGCACAGAAAGTTGATTGAAATGGGTTAAAATTTTGCAGGAAATGGACAGGGTTATGAGGGGGCACGTACATGTACATGTACAGTACACACATACATGTATTATATTACACTTTACAATTTTAATTCATCACAGCCTGGCTAACACTCGGGCATTTACAATGTACAATGTGCATAAGGTGTAGCAGTGTGTTTGCCGTTCAAACCCTATAAACCACTCTCCACAACAAAACCTCTATTCAAACAATACATAGGAGGACGGTGAGCACCCAGCAACCATGTCTGTGCACACAGATCTGTTACCCAAACCCACACTTGGACGGCTACATGTTCAGGACTGCATGTACAAGTACAAGTACATACATGTACATGTACGTAGCTGATAAAATTCAGTTTTGGTGCATCTATCACAAAAGCCCAAGACCAACAAAAATTTCCCCAGTTACATGTTCACTGTACTGTTCCACTAGATGGACTGAACATTCAGTATATCAAGTTCCTTTAAAAGAACAAATGAAGCAATGTCCAACGGAACTAACTTTTTTCAGACAGAAAATCTGCCCGATTTCAATTTGTCGTTCTATAAATTTGGGGTCCAATTTTTCTTTCTGTGTCCCTGTAACATCCGGCATACGATTTTGTAAGTTCAGAACTCATTCTCTCTAAGAGTGATGAATTAATGCAAATTGCCGGCCACTTGCCAAACCAATAGAAAGAGTCTGAAATCAATTTCAGTGACATTTCCATGTCAAATTCAACGGGTAAGGTGTAACAAGGACACAAAAAAGGTCACAATTTTGGAGCCTGAATTTACAGGATGACCTGCAAGAGTAATTCTTGGGCCCCTACCATAAAACTGAGACTATATTGTAGTATTTCAGCTGTGGTTAATAGGGCCTAGTGGTTAAAATGTCTTTAGGGTAGTACCCACCAAACAGTGAGTCCTATACTTAAAGCAGAAAGGGCTACTGGGACCTTTAACCTTTAATTGTATGCCATCTTACTCATTTTCTACAAATGCCCCGAAAACACTGAAAAATCTTTTAAAAATATGCAAGTGCACCTGGTACAGGTCTCACTGATTTGAAAACTTAACTGTGGCAAAAACTAAAATGTTCAGACTCCAAACACGTGAACTCTTTATCAAACTGCACTGTTCTGTACATGTGCAGTGTACAACATGCACGTACCGGTATTGTGTAGGCATCAGTACAAACAAGCATGGATTAAGTATGTGTAAACATGGCAAAAAAGATTGAGCATGTTAAAATACTCATGAGCATGGTGAAAATGTATGGTACTGTACTTGTGCTAGTACAGGGTCAAAATACAAGTAAAATGGTTGAAGTACATGTACATTTATGATGTAACCAGGATAAAACCAAGACAATGTGGTGGTACCGGTATATTGGTACGTAGGGGTAATTCCAGAAATTAGGGGTTCATTTTTTTTCGTGTCCCTGTCACAGCTGACATATGATTTTGTAAGTTCAGAACACATTTTCTAATTTCCAAGAGTGATGAATTAATGCAAATTACCTGTCAAACAAAAATAGTAATAGTTTGAAACCAGTTCTTGTGATATTTATACATGTCACTGCAGGTACGTCAAAAAACAAAGGTCAGATGCAACAGGGACCCAAAAATGTCACACTTTTGGACCCCTAATTTCTGGAATTAGCCTTATATAAATGTTGTACTTTTTTATAAGATAAAGAATCCGGTTATTTTAGCCATTTGATTATCCATTTGATTTGATCATTCATATCTGCAATAGGTTATTACATGAATGATTGTATACATCTGTCCCTCATGAACAAGGACTGTAAATGACCTCAAGCAAGTATACAATGCATTTTTCCCGTAAAACAAGACAGCCAACACTGCCAAACATAAAGGTCAGCTCCTGACATTCTGTCTGCCTAAGCACCATCAGTCCAAAGCATGTATTAGCATTTCTCCCTTCCACTCTGAATCTATTCCACGGAAAACTAGATTCTTTTGAATATTTATGATCATGGTACGGTATTTAACTACAGCAAGAGCATATACCGTATACTTTAGTATGACATCCATCTGGGAGACTTGCTGTATAAATACGTGTACATGTACCTGTATGTAAATGTGTATGTATACAGAATACATGTATGTACAAATCCCGAGTAGGCTATTGATGGGGACATCCTGGGTAGGTAGAAAATACACATATATGCAGCAAGGTATGAGACGGAGAGAACCCCTCCCCCTGCTTTGTGTTGGTCATTGTCTTGC